GTAGATAATAAATTTATTGCGAAAGTAATACTACCAAAAAAGGTATAAAATATTTATGTACAGCTTGACAAATTTAATAAGAAACTTGAGAATTGTCACAACCTGTGGGATTCTTGACAGAGTACGCATTCAGACGAAAGACAATGGAAACTCATCGTCTTCTAACGCTCATCTAGTGTTACCTACATTTGACCATTGTCTAAATAATAAATTTGACAATCTGTACATGAAAATATTTGAATTGTTTCATACATTTTTTTGAGAAAATTAATTGTAATCTGTAGAGATTAGGAATGTTTGAGTTAAAAAATATCAGTTGGTTACATGGTTGTGAAACAATAACAATATACCTACTAATAAAATATATCAGTGTTAAACACTCTCAATGGCGGTCTCAACGGGTGACGAACAGGGCACCCAGTCCTCCTCACTCTTGCAAGGGCTTCGCACAGTGATCCTAGTGGAAAAACGTTTTCATTTTGAGATTTATATAATATTACCAAATTCTCAAACATTAAAACATAGTTGAAAACTTCAATAATTTCGCTCCTTGCGCACTAGAATATCTATGCGCCGCAGCGTTTTGTTACTGGCTACTGTCATTGTCACAATCACATACTTTGCACAATAGACAAAAGCCCTATGAAAATCTGCCTCGCAATGATTGAGGCCGCAACTGAATACTCACGTCACTGAATACTTACAGTTCAATAACAGTAACACTGTTTCTTTCACTCCATTAGAGACTACATACACTATGCGATTCCCTGCAGGCCGTCGCCTCAACAGGCGATCGTAAGACCAATATCGCCGACTTCCATACACTAGCAGTCAACCTACTTCACCAGAAACATACAAAAAGAAATGTATATTTTTCAAAAATTCGTCAGTTGATAACGAAATGATAGAGTTGTCAGCAACTCAATTTATTTTATGTCACGCCAATTTGTAATAATCCCAGCTATTCAATTCCCAAACTGTTTAAAACTGGATAAAATAACAACTATTGAAAAATCAATACAAAAGAAAGAAAAAAATATTCATTACATATTATTACAAAAATTGAAAGTATATATTACAAAAACAAATCATCAAAAAAGAGTTATCAACAATTTGAATAACATTCAGTACATGAAAATATGAAAACAAAATATGACTCTGTACACAGTCCAAATTATGTTTAATAGCTATAATAAATTCATGTTTGCTGTATTCCTCATATTCCAATTTGTCTATGAGCTTATCCTCATCGTCGTGTTCATGAATAGGACAAGTTATGCAGTTAACTTTTCTGGGTGAACTTTTGAGTTTGCTTTTTACTATACTTCACCAGATTCTCTATTGATTTAGCTTTTATTTTTTCAGATTGTGGAAGATTATAAACCTGAAAAAACTGTATGAAATATCGAGTCCTCCACAAAAAAATACCGTTTAAAGAATATAAAATATCATCTATACAGGGTCTTTCACGACGAGCGTTCGTTAGGAATATATGGAGAACGATTCAAAATAAAAACTTGAAATTTTGTGGTAGTGGGTTTTACAAAATGGCCTTCTCAACTTAAATATTTTCAACTTCCGGTCTCTTTCTGTTATACCGGAAGTTGAGGGCAACTTCCTTATTTCAAATATAATACCCTGTATTTTATTACATTTTTGAATTTCTCAGCACATTTTAGGTCCACTTTGTATAACAATGCCTGTACCCAAATTTTTTATTTTTTGAGAAAAAATCATAACTCATAGCAGTTGAAACAGTTGAAAATGTGATATTTAACAGAATCACACCTTAAGCATCAAGTCATGAACAGGTCCATCGAATTTTCGAAAATAATTTACAGGGTGGTCGAAATTATTTTTGGATACTATGAAAAAAAAGATGTCAAATTCACGAAGAATGTCGTATACCTAAAATACACCCCTGGCAAGATATATCCGATTTTGGGACATATTTGAAATGTAAATCATTAGAAGCAATATCAAACCAAGAAAGCTTTGAAAAAAAAATGAACTAATATTAACTCTTTCGTTGGTAAAAGGTACTCAACATGAAAATGGATGGATTGAAATGAAATACTATCAGAGATATGGATTATATCTTTGTTTATTGATATCGAATACAGTAATTTCATTTTGTTTATATTTTTTAAGGTTAGATTTTACTTCAATTTTAGAATTTAACTTAATTTCTTTAAATTCAAATAAAATTGTGCTTTATTTCAACAGATGTTCAAAGACATTGCCGTTTTGTTCTAAACAAGAATATATTCTTTTTTGCATACTACTATTTGTAGCTTTCTGTATGGAGTCAGGAATCAAATTCTTGAAAGTTCTCAGAACCCTTCGTTTCATGTTTATTTTATCACTCACAGGATCCGCATAAACATTTTCTTTGATATATCCCCAGATGAAGAAGTCCAGTGGCATCAGGTCTGGAGAGCGAGGAGGAAATTTAAATGGCCCATTGTAGCAAAGCCACTGATCTTTGAACATCCCATTCAACAACCCAGCAATGGTATCAGTACATGTGCAGGGGCTCCATCCATCTGATACCATAACTTGAAACGGTATTGTTCAGAAACATGCCTTATGGATTCACCAACCACATTCCTAATTATATGCGAATGTCTATCGCCCTTCAAATTCTCTTCATAAAGATATAAACATAAAATTTAGTCTTTCTTTATAGCGCAAAAAACGTTAAAACTGGGAGTTGTGCTGGCGAAAAAGCTTTGGATTTTCTGCTGCCCAAAAATGACTATTATGGCAAATTTTGTTTCATCTGTCCATATCACGAACTCAGGGTCCTCATGTATCTTGGTAAGAAACCATTAGCAGAATTCCACTCGTGCAGGTAAGTCGTGAGGTTTCAGATTTTGAAGGGACGCCACTTATGTTTGATTAAAACATAAAATTGACGAACATGAAATTTTAAGTGACTTTTCTGCGTCTTTTAACGAATTTTCTGGATAGGCTGTGAAGTAGGCCAAAACTACAATTTCAAAGTCCTCATTGTTTACCAGTGGTTTTTTTTTGTAGATGACAGACGAAAAAGATCCGAAATCACGGCAGTTTCTTGTGAATATTTAAAATACATGAATACTAAATAAAAAAATAATACTAGTTTTGGGTATAAATTGAGTGACGCTTTCGTGGTCTGATTCCATTGTATTTGTAGTTTTTCAAGATTGTCGACTGTTGGCCGTTTTGAGTTTTTCAACCTTTCACTGACAACGAATGATGATCAACAATCCAAAAAAATTGGACATTCAATATTGAAAAAACACGAAGATAAAGATATTTTTTTAAAAAGGGAATTCCCAAAGGTTTTTTTATTTTTTATTGTCACTATTGGGTTCGTCAAAAACAATGAATATATTTTGTAATAAAATGAAAAAAAGATATGATTGGTACTAATATGTAGCAATAACTCATGGGTTTTTATTGGGCTGCTTCCTGTTTCATTTGTACAATACAGATAAACATTTAGATCTTCCTTGAATCTAGATTTAGAAAATAAACTATATCTCAGTAGTAAAAAAAAAATTAATACTGAATGATTTGGCACTAGTAGGATAAGTAGATTTTCAAAAAATCTATTAACAAAAAACATTCATAGGCCTTTTTGAAATAAAGTACATGATACACTTTTCATAAAAACAATCACTTTTTCCGGACAGTAACAAATATATAACACTCAAAACCTTTCAAAGACACAATGACTAAGAACTAAATTTTATTAGTTCGGACTTCCATTGTTTAATATGATATAAATAAAATTATTTTAAATTCCTGAAAAAACCAATACAATTGAAAATTAAAATGGATAGCTGAAAATAACAATTTTGGCGTTGAATTAGATCATTATTACGCATTGGTCAAAGACGAAATGGACTGGTTTAAGTTTGATTATAGTTGTGTCACGAAGTGTTCTGGTGAAGTTTTGAATTTATTGGAGCCTGTGCAGACACTTTACATTTTGTTTTATAAAAGAGAGGACATTGGCAGATCAAGATCTGCAGATGATGTGGTGCTGCAGATTTTTCCGGGTTTTCCTGCAACTGAAAAAGCAAATGCGCCACTGGAATCGATGGCCCCGAAGCGCCAATTAATTTTTGTTGTTTCATAATTTCATGATTAGTATTACTTTCTTTTTTAATGAATTACAAGTAAAGTTATTAGTTAACAATTATATTAAGCAAAAAACCCTGAAATGAACTAACAATGAAATAAAATACAATAAAATAAATGAAAATTTGAACAATTGAACAAAGAAAGGAAATGAAAATTGAAAGATTTCAAGCCATGTTACTTTACGACGTTTCGATTGTTAGTATCCACAATCGTCTTCGGACGATTCCGTTTGGCGGGAGTTGGCCGTTTTCCGCTTGATTATGGGTTTCTATACGTTGCGTATTTCTAAGCTAGCTTGGCTGAATACGTTGTTGGACAACATATATGCGGCTTCTTTGAATTTTCTCTTAAACCAGTTTTCCTCCCTGTGGATGGTCTCAGCTTGGGAACACTTGATGTTATGTTGATCAATCACTCAATCAATTTATTCAATTCACATGAGTCCAAACATGCTCTTGCTAAACCAGTGAAGCGAAGAGAGGGAAGAGGGTGTAGGTGAAAGCACTCGAATGACCTATAAATAGTCATTTCTCTGAAGAATTAGGCCAGTCAATTTTCAATTTTTTGCTTGTATTCCATTTCATTGTAATTTTATTTCGGGGTTTATTGCTCAATATAATTGTTATTTTCAGCTATTCATTTTAATTTTCAATTGTATTGATTCTTTCAGGGATTTCAAAACATTTTATATCACATAAGACAGTAAAGTCATAACTAATGAAATTCACCACGTAACATTGTCATCCACCTTCAAACAGGCTAAGAACTAACTGAGGTTCACATTAAAAAAAATAATTCAAAGGTAGCACAAACTGAGTCCTATAATTGTTATTTTCAGCTATTCATTTTAATTTTCAATTGTACTGATTCTTTCAGGGATTTCAAAACATTTTATATCACATAAGACAGTGAAAGCCATAACTAATGAAATTCACCACGTAACATTGTCATCCACCTTCAAACAGGCTGAAAACTAACTGAGGTATACATTAAAAAAAAGATAATTCAAAGGTAGCACAGACTGAGTCTTATATAAATTAGCATTTTTCCTACACACTAGATAAGCCAAATACTTTTTTCGGCGTACATTATTTCTCTAACCACATTGACATGATCCATGATCATAGGTTTACAACTCATCACCTATTTCAGGTAAATAATACTCTGCCACTCCCTAAGTATAAGAAAGATAAAAGCATGAAGGATTAACAAATACATAGGTATAATAAAGTAAATTTTTCAGGTGTGGCTTGTGCAAAAAATATTATTTCTCAATAACGAAATATTGTACAAATATAAATGTATTCGATAAGTGATAATTGCAATAAAATTGAAAATTTCTAAGTGCCGCATTTTAGAACATGTCAGGTGGTTAAAATATTTTCGAATATTGATTAATTGTGAATGAAAAATACAATTTACTGTCATTTACAATATATCGGACCTTTGAACTCAAAAAATGGGAGGACAATAAAATTAAGTTCGATAAATTAAAAGAAATATACATTCATTCAAGTAAAAATAAGTGTATGCCCTAGAATCAAGGAAATTTAAAACAGAACAGTTCAAACTTAATGACATTTCTGGGCATATAAAGTAATTTACCCTCCCCCTCTACACCTGATCTAGTTATGAAATGTTTTTTAATTTTTTTAGGAGGTACTTGAGTACCCCTACAAATAACATTCAGCCATTATATTCACAAGAAATTCACAAGAAATTACAGAATAATTTCTTGAGTTGGTCACTATTCATAAGTAACTTTCATACTAAAAAAAAAGTATTTCAAGTCTCCAGCTCCACAGCTTAATTTTACAACAATTACCTAAACATATTGGATCAAAATGAACTATTTCTCATGAAAAAACCTTGCAATAGCTCTATAGGTAATTTGCATTAAGTACATTTTTGTTGTTAAAGTTTTCATGAGGTATTTTTCGGCAACTCGAGATCACTTATTTAATAGGTGTAAAATAAAAATTGACTAGGAATTTTACTATCTTTCAGTCTCAAACAGTGATAACAAAAATTGAGGTAACACCCTGTAAGGTACTTTCACGATTATAAATATTAATATTATTGCCATTTTTCTCCTTGATGAAACATTTAAGTAGTCTCAGACTTATCTACCGTCACATATAGGGGTTTGTATAACACTAGAGGATCTCTGAAAGAAATGAATCTTATCTATTATCAGAATGAATTTCCAATGAACGTACAAACCTCAAATGATGTTCATTTCCATCGTACACCTGACCCAACAGAAATTCTGGTGCCAAATACATTCCACCCTCCACTACAGGGCAAGCATGATCTAAGGAATGATTTATTAATAAGGAATTAGATATATCAACAAGTTCTACAATTTTACCATATTTTATTGCTGGGGTTCTGTTTGAATTGGGGATTCTGAACGGCACTGTACCTATTGTTATTGGACAACTGACTTGTAGTATATCAAATTCTCTATCTGTGTCCAAATAAACCTGAAATTTTATGTTAGAGAAAGTGAAAATTAATATATACAACAAATATTTACTGTTAGTAAATAGTAGATCTGGACCAGTCGACATATATGTACTAACGTTGTAGGCATTGGTGGTATTACAAGACAATTGGAACTGTCCCATTTGCTTCGGGTATGAGGCTTGACATGACATCCCCTGAAAAAGTTGTATACCTATAAGGGCATTCTTTCTTGCAGTGAAAGTGGAGCAGATTTAGGTTAGAAATTGAATTAAAAAATTATGTATTGAACCAACACCCCTTTAAAATTTTTATGGGCTGAACAGATTTCGTGGTTTTATATGAAAAAGATACAGTTACAATGAGAAAGCCACGAATCCATTTCCATTACAAAATGTAAACATGAAATATTGGAGAAAATCGATTTTTCAAAGGCTGTACCTTTTTTGTGTGTACATTTGCATAGAGGTAACTTGTATCCAATCGTATTATTTTTGACCCTAGAATATGTGATTCAATTTATGACCGATTTTTTTTTTGTTATACCCTTTATAATAGTGTCTGAATTTTGTGGTTCATTTTATAATATGTTAAGTATAATTGTGAAAAACTTATGTCCGGAAATGCATTTTTTCCAGTGCAATACAGGGTTTTAAATTTTTCTAAAATGTTATTATCAGTGATGAGGTTCATTTAGCCTTGATTAGGTACAAATTGTTTTGAGTCCAAAAGCTATTATTGTAACATTTATTTTTTATTAAGCAAAACATCCGAAAATAAAACTTTTTTATCTCTCGATTCATTTTCCACAACAAAAATACATATTACTTTATCACACATTAATCAATTTTCGTATTGCTATGTGAATGTGACATGAAGTAAACAATAATTTCAAATTGGGTGGATCACCAAGAATTATTGGGAATTACCTCCAAAGGTCAATATTATTACAAAAAACCATTTTTTTTCTTGGAAATAATGCATTTCCGGACGTACTTATGTATGATCTTACTTCATAAAACACACATGCCCTTACATTTTTCACCGCAATTAGGGAACACCTTGTATAGTTTTCAAGTTCAAATTGATAGTCTTGGTTTCTGCCAACCATACCAACTAGTTGTAGAAAAGTGAAATAGTGCTTCAGTATTAAGTTGGCAAAATTTTCTGAATAAAAGTACCCCATGATTTCTCAACTTACCCATATTCGAATACAAGATGTTTCAAATCCTTACTAACTCCAAGTACTCCTCTGTCAATAAAAAACTCACATACTTGTTCGAGCTTAACCCGTAATTTAACTTCCTCTTCACCTTGATTGTCAATAGTAACTTTCAGTTTTATGCTTTCTTTACAAACATAAGCAGATCTCGCTAGAACACATCGAAGGTTGATGGTACCTTTTTTGCAACACCAACAACAAGTTGACCTTCTATTTTCCAACACTTGCGGTTTCTAAAATTAGGAATCGAATCCATTTCATGATTTCCTTGTATTAATTATACTTACTAGATATTGCTCCTCCATACAATCTATATGAGGACCAATGACGGTAAAATATTTGACGCCTTGAGGAGGACTGGCATAAGGAATATCTATTGTTACTTTGAAAAAATATCTGATGTAGCCTGGTTTACTTTCAAACGAACAAGGCAAGCTTGATTCAGGGAGATGAAATCTAAAATAGTTATTCAACACCTGAAATCTATTTTTAGAAAGTATTTTTTGTTGCTCACTTGAAGGGAAATTTGTGTACGCCCCTTGGAAGAATAGGAATAGTTGTTTCCAAATTGTTCTCACCCCATATTATATGCCTTTCATCAACGAAAATTTGGTCATCTTTTACCTTTAACAAAAATTATTACTTTGTAATAAATTAGAATCGAATATTATCACAGAGATATAATTCTGTTTTATACTGTAATATAAATTGAAGATATCAGCAATATCTAGAGAATGTTCTCTTTTGTTAACCATCTGAAATAATCCGTAGTTAGGAATAATGCTAATTAGAATAGTGAATCTGTGAGATTCGAAAATTCATGCCAAGAAAAGAATACATTAAATTTCAAACTATGCTATTAGTTTCAAGGGACTTACCTTCAAGATACTCAACTGGTCATTTACAGTTTTCAGATGTTAACAGAATTTTTTTTGACAGAGTATACTTTTCCAAAAAAATGTATAGGTACTACATGAGTTTTTTTAATGATGAAATATTTTTTCACTATCATTTAAAATACTAAAATCCATGAAAAAAGCAATCATTTACATATAGTTTACTCACTGTTCTTCGATCACCTGAGAGAAGTACTTTCCACTCCGCATGTGCCTTTCCTCTCAATATCACCCTTATTGCTTAAATATGTGTTGGGAAACATTACGATTTATTAACAATGAAAATGAAATACTCACTTCTAAGTTTGAAATTTTCAATGGTATCCAAAACAACATTTCCTTTTATTGTTTCTCCAGCATAGTAATATTCTTTTTCCAACTGAATATCAAACTCACGAATATAATCCATCTCTCAGAGAAAATATTTCATGAGAAAAATAGTCGGTGCTTTGTTCTAAATCATACCAAAAACACCTTGAAAGTGGCTGTTTACCAATCTACTCAAAAAGGAGATGATAAAATTTATAGTCAGCTGTTTTGAGAAATCAATACTACTGAGCAAACTCAGTTTGATTTGTGGTCATGTTGGGAATGACAAATGCTACTTTCATTGAATGGTCTATTTTTGGTGAAATATACTACTTATAACATCGAATTTTGATTTCAGAAATGAAGTGAACTTAAGTGGAATTAAGGTTTTTTAAATGAGAAATACTTAGTTTCTTATATAAAATGTATTTCTAAAAATCACATAAATGGTAATACAAAAATATAGATAAGATCATTCTATACCAATAATTTATTATATATGAATATTAAATAAAATGTTAAAAGCCATTATACAAAATATAAAAATAAGCAAATTTTAAATAATTGTCAATTAGTAAGTACTTCGAGTCCTATATTTTTTTCATCAAAGAATGAGGAAAACAGCAAAGAAATATTGCAATTTTGTCATATTATGTGATAATTCAGTTTCATTAATATTGATTTCCTTAAGTTTCTAAATTCGGATTTGGAAAAAAGGAAAATATATTGGAAAAAAGTATCACAATTTGAGTAAATTTTTGCTTGTTAGGCCATTGTTGCATTACAATTCCACTTTTCTTTATGTTGCCCCAGTCCGAAGGCAGTGTCATAATTTCCTTTAGAAATGAATAACCTCTTGAAGTGGGGTGTACAATACAGTAAACCTTGGTTATAAGAGTAAGAATCCATTCTGTAAAAGAAAATCAGTAAATAATACATTCTTTCATAATAAATACTACAATCAGTAACTTATCAAAGCATTCGTGTAAATTTAGCTAAGAAGATTTTCAATGGGAAATCGTTTTCAGTGTCTCTGCAGATTTCACCATACTCAAGCTCTCAAGAATCTCAACATTTGTAGGTTTTCCTTCTTGAATGAGCTATGGGCCAATGTCTCAAAGACCATTGTTGTCGCTTTCAGAGAGCAAATTGAAAATGTTTCACTAGAAGAGTCAATTGAAAACAAACGTCATACAAAATTCCTGGGGTTACACATTGCTAGCAGACAGAATTTCGACAATCATATTGAGGCTTCCATAAGCCAATCAGCATATACATGTTATGCAGTCCGTGTGGCATCCAATGAACTCGAACTGTCCAACGCAAAGATGATTTTTTGCTTTACACGTGTAAATAAAAAATCGAGATTCTTGTCATATTACTGCGATGCTGCATTTTTTCAATGAAACATATTAAATCGGATTTAATACCAATACTAAAGTAATTTTGTGTTAGTGTAATTACCCTGGTCTGATGTTACCTTCGATTTGATGTACCTTCATTTATTATTTTCTGACAAATTCATGTTTAATTATAAGTCTCGTTTCAAATTATTTAGGTTCAACTTGTAAGACTGACATGTGCTTTGTTATGTGTCTATTTTTCAAACTATTAACATAAGATACACTTTGTCAATAAGAATTTTTGTTCTTCANGTGGTGTGTTGCAAAAACATGCTTCTTCATCGACTGGAGAATAAGAATTCGTTCTTTATCTTTCTCTGCATCTTTTTCTGCAAGACAACTAGACGAAACCAGAGGCCATAAACGGCCGATGTCAAAATTTTGTTTTGCAAAAAATCGAAGCAGTGCGTCTTCGTAAGGGGATTTTTTCAAGCTTATTTATGGTCAGGATTTTCCTTTGAGGATAGTCGAGTCCAACAATGCATCCGAGGTTTGAATTAGTTTTTATACAGTTTTAATAATTTTTTTCGTGTTTACAGCAAAATTACGTTTTGTTGATTTCATTTCAATATGGATGTATTTGTTATTGTTAGAAACAATGTTTATGTCACACGTTGTCCTTAATCGTTTGAAAGTTTTAACAGTGCTTGACCTGCCATAAATTTACTTTGGATTTGAAATGATCAATAAATCACTCTACTCTACGACTATAACCATTTGCTTACCTTAAAACACAGGAACATTCCATGCACTTGAAGCAATTTTTGTGATAAACATGTCCATGAACTGATATCTTTTCCAATGGGTAGACCTTACCATCGCAGCTCTCACACAAAACCGTGATACTTGGTATTTCCTTGCAATTAAAACATTGTGAATTTTGTAGACGATTTTAAATTATCCGTCAATTTAAATAGAACAGATAAAGTACAGAAAAATGGGTTACAGTATGCTATTCATCCCTTTGGATAACTATTGCGATGTTTTATCCTAATAGATCTGATTCCAAGTTTTTTTAGCAGTATGAGAACCTCAACTCATCATACGAATGTTATGGTAAATAAAAAGTTTAATATTTATTGGAAACTTATAATTCATCTTATTATTCTGATAGAATTTGATGAACAATCTATAAACTAAGTTTCGTTTGAGTTTTTAAATAGAAGAAATGCCAAAAAAGATTACTGAGTAGAACACTTGAAGTAGTTTAACAGCAAGATTTCCCACCTGCTTTATAAACATTGAATAATATTGATATATTTGTTGATCGTTGCATTTTGTCGATAAGTAAAACTCAAAAAAGGACATTTTAATTTCAATTTATTCACTCAAAATTATCATAAATTGGCACAAATATCGGATATTACATAAAACAATGTTCTAAAATATTTATTTTAACCTAGAGAGACATGAATATAATTTAGAAATTTATAAAATTCTGCGTTTTTGGCTTAATCTCACATGCGTAACATCAAGGCTAAAAAATGTGCTAAAATATCCAACAAATAGACTTCTGTAAACGGAAACGTACAACAAAATAATCTATACTATTATACAATAATCACTTTAAAATATAACCTCTTGTTAAACAAGCGCTAAAATAGAAAAACTTAATAAATTTTACTTCCGATTTTGGACATTAAAACGTGTGGTTTCTAAAGTTACAGAGTTATTCACAATAAAACGAAAATCACATTTAAAATTTGATAAAATCGAGATAACTCTGTGCTTTAATAAAAAATATCGACAATCATAATTTTAAAAATCTGTTTTCTAAAATATGAAGGTAGACAAAAAAGCTAATAGAAATATGTTATTTTTGTAGATTTTTAAAAAACATTCACATTCATTTTTGGATGATCCCAAACTGTCTCCTTTCACTGAAAAGAGAAGAGTATTGTAATATTGTTTATCCATTAAAATCAAAACAACACTCATGCAAAACAAAAGACAATTTGTTAATTATTAGTACACATAATCAACAAAATGCAACACCAACAAAAATTTAAGAATTAAAAAATCAACACAACACTCAGCTATTGGAAAATAATGTTTAGTTTTCAAAGCAAAACAGTTAAAAGAAAATTACGTCGCTATGTGAAAAAAAGAAGGGTACCTAAATAAGTAGATTTATCACATTTTCTGCTTGTTGGCGAAATATATTGTCAGTTTTCCTCAAAAATAAATTATTAGGAAACTTCAGTACTTGAAAGGTATTAAATTTAATTCACTATCGGTAGGAAAAACAATAAAAATATTCATTTTCCAAGTAGAACATGTGATACAATAATTATAATAGATCGAGGTTACCCTATAATTGGATATTAAGATAGAAATGAGATTAAAGAGCCCATCAGTTCAAAAATGCTTTCCTGGAGAGATTACCCTTTTGAAAATTATTAGGAGAAAATATACTTCATACTGCGAACATTGTCGGAAGCTCATTACTAGCTAAGAGTCGTTTTTTAGTCATCACGTTAACATAAATATGCATAAAATTTGAACAATTCAAATTGAATAGTGATAAAAGTAATTCTGAAATATATTCAAGAAACAATTCATTGTGAGAAAACAGCGCAGGCGCTATTGTATAGCGAAGCAAGTGATTGACTTGAGAAAGCTACTGTGCTAGCGAAACATGTTGTGATATATTTTTCAAATAAAGTTTGTGGAGATCAAATCGTGAGGTGTAGTTTTTGAAATTATAGTTACTTTCCAATTCAATCTGACGTAGATATCAATAATTCGCGAAAAAAGTTCCTTTTTATTTATATTCGCCATTTGAACTTATTTTATGTGAAAAATAAGATTGAAAGTTGTAGATAGAGTTTTTCGGGATTCCAAATGGAGCAAAACTCCTAATCTCCCATTCCAAACATCAAATGTACTCTTTCTGTATAGTTTTAAGTAACGATATTTTTAGAGAATTCTGTAGTATCCTACTAAGATGGATTCAAAGAACTTTCTGAACTTTCCGAATAGTATATTAAAGTATGATTGGATATTGAGGTCTTTAAAATGAGTGCGATTTTTCGACCATGATGGCGAAGCAGGAATGCTTGAAATAGAGCAAGTGTTTTAAAGACTAATTATCTAGGAATACTTCACACTATTTTCTCATTGGTAAGCTTTGAAATCATTACTTAACATGCCTCTTACATTGTACGTTATCATAACTGGGACGATATTAAGAAATAAGAAAACATGCGTTTTGATGTATATCCACTACCATTATGGAGAATAGTGTGTGGCATGACACTAGAACAAGTCTAACGATAAGTAGGATGGAAATTAATGGCTATGGCAACAGGTTATGTAGCAATAAAAAGGATGTTTTACACATTGGCTTCCGAGAATGTCAGCAGTGATGATTTTAAAAGCAATGTTAATTTGAAAAACACCTTTTCTGACTTGAAAACCGAAGTATTATCATCTCAAACAATACAACTGTACTTTTCACAACCAATAAGATTGTTGTATATTTGAATGAAGTTTTTGAAACATTCGTTAGTAATATTTTATTTGACATTACAACGTGCACTACTTGTCAAATCATCAATTGAAGTTGATATTTAACTTCGCGTTTCTCAGATTGTTGATGTTCAAAACATGCGTGGTTTCAAAAGTTGGATTGAAACACTCTATTGGCGAGAATCAAAATACTGTAAAATTTCAATAGAATAAATATTTCAATGGAAACAAACAATTCATTATGACAAAATACTGCAAATATTATTCATCACGAATTATTACACAAAACAAAAAATATAGTCACGTGACTGATTAAGACAAACCTAGTAGACTAAGTGCTGACATACAATTTGACTCGACTATTACGTGAAATGTAGGTGATTTGTGCATGATTAATTAAATATTAATTAAATGAGCAAATAATGATCTGAATACTTGAAAAAATCATAATCAATGTGCTTTTACAAAGTTACAATTTTAATATGTTCCATGATATGTAGGTTGGAAGTACTTGGCAGACGAAGATTAGGTGTACTGATGATACCTTATACACGAATTTGTCCTTGAAAAAGGCAACACTGTTATTGCTAGGCGATTTAACATATCAAAAAAATAATTTGTGGGATGAAACTACAAGTTGTAACAACCAGAAACACATTTTTGAACTAAGAATTAAGTTCTTCAAGTCAATACTGGGATACCCTGTGTTTGTATGAAAATTAACAATGAATTACGGAAAACTTATATCAGTTATCTCAGGATGTAAAACAAATCTCTATACTTACCACAAATCTATTAACTTTCACACGTTGGGTTTTTGAACTATCGGAACTTGTATCTCTCATGGATTCAAAACGAGCTCTTAACCTGTAAAAAATGAATAAATATACAATTTTGAAAATCTGTTCACATTTTGCTATTGGCACTTGATGTGGACTGTCAGAATATATCCATGAATCTTTTATACAGGGTGTCATCTGACTTGGGCCACCCCCATCTTTGAATTTTTAAATACGGACCTGTATTTTTTGTTGTAGTTTTTGGATCGTAGACATTCACTTCATACTGAGAAATTAAATTTATTGCTAGTACAGAAGTTAGCATCAACTTACGATCTTGTTGATTCAATCTGTGATTCATCTCCACCCTCTTCCCCAATATTTACAGCCTGACTCTCTTCCCTTCTAATTTCTTGTTGCTCCCACTTTTCAAATTTGGCTCGGAGTTGTGTAGCTCTGGCGGCTCTTCGTGCCTAAAACAGATTATCGTCATAAATCTATTAATTTCCTATACAGATTTATCTCACTTCTAATAAATCTTCAGGTAAATTTTGATTATCCATTTGATCTTGTCCCTCAGATTCCTCTTCGGATCCTGAATCTTGTTCATCTGCACTTTCATTTTCAGTTCTTGGTAGTTCAGGAGGTGGGGTAAAACTTTTCATTGGTTTCGGACCTGAGAATTATCAATTATTATCTCATAGTAATATTTACACTTATATCATTTCCTTACTGAGTGGTTCCTGTTCTTTCGTCAAGTTTTCCTCCTCCATTTGCCTGAATTTGTTAAGCATTTTGGAAGTTGTGTGTGTCTTTTTCGCTATTATGGAGTCATCAATGGTATCTTCTGCCCTCACTACCTCTGGATCATGATATATTTCCCGTTCAGGTGTGTCAGTCTTAGAGAAAAAAAAAAAAGAGTTAAAATAAAGTATTTGAATGATAATAGTTTTCAATTATTAGGAATAAATTGCACATTGATAATTAGTGGCGGTCAAAAATACACAACAAACTTGCCTGAAAAATGTGAAAAGTTATACTTTTCTGAAAAAAACAAAGCTTTTGAGACATGTCAAACCTAGCATCATGCCTTATAGTTACTTCGAACTGGACTGTTCTGATATTCTAATGCCCAATAAACGACATCCTTAATTGCAAAGAATTGTTTCTACTTTTTATCATAAAGACTCTCCCTAGTGCTATATTAGACCATAGTTTACATTTATAATTTTTTTCTGTATTATTTCAATTTTGAATTTTTCTGTTTTCTGGAAAAAATTAAATTATATTATTAGCGATAACCATTGTCACTTCTTATTAGTAACAAAATGTAGGCAGTATTCGATAGAGTTGCTCTTCTATTCCACCTGCAATATTCGAAAGACATTTGTGCAAGTTTTATCATAGAGGAAATTCTTACAGATGTTTCTCGTTCTTCTATTCGACCGGTTTCGGAGTATCACATCGACGTTAACCGCATATCGTCATAAAAAAGAGCTGTTGTAACTACAATGAAGTAGTAATAGTTCAATCTCGTGAACAGTCTCAAGAGCAGAGCATCCCATGTACAAAAACTCTAAAAGACATCAAAGTCTGATGTTTGTGTCAAAGAGAGAAGATTCAGTATATACATGAATATGATGAAATCTTGGTTAAATCTGTTCAACACTGTCAAGGAGTATTACTCCAAAACCAGTCTGTAGGTAATCACTCGCTGGATCTCAGGGAAGACCCACCGTAGTATTGGCCACTGAAGTAGTAATTTTCTGTGTAGGAAGATTAGTTTGCAGGGGTAAAGGCTTCAAAATATTCATTTTCATATTTTTATTTTCTATTCAATGATCATAGAGTCAGAAAATTAAGCTTTGAGTATTTGCTCTGTGGTATTATATGATTCTTTTCAAACAGAAAAATGACCTCCAATTGGAATACATTTGATTCAAAAAACCAAAAAAACTATTCACAAAAAAAAAAGAAAAAGTGAATTGAGTACCTTGTACTGGTTTTAGAGAAACAAGCACAAAGTGGAGTTACCAGTGATCAGTTTGGAAGATATGTTGAATCTATATAAATACATATTTCAGATTTAGATTTTAAAATATAAGAGAATAAATAAAGCTTTGACAATGAAAGTTTCAACTTTATTATTAATGATTGATTATTATTCTTATATTCTTTTCAATATTATCAATTACCTTTAGAAGAGATCGAAGCGGTTAGATGAATACAAGAAAAAAATGTGAAATCCCAGGTTGTTGTTTGCAATACCAATTTACTGGGTTTCCAAAAAATTAATTTTATATTAGTACCATTGCACACACTTTTCAACATGCTTGTTTATCAACCTTAACTTGAGAAGGATCTCTCGGTGGAGTGATTCTGAATGTTTTTCTCTCTTTCTCAGGCTCCTTGTAAGTTTCAAAAAATTTGAATCGTTGTTGAATATCGGCAGTTTTAACCTCGACTATGTCTTCGATTATTTCTGAAGATTTTACGGTATCTTCCGAAGCTGTTTTGGCCAAATAGGCCTAAATGAACAAATTAAAATTTGGACAAATTAAAAATAATTGATAATTTTACCTCTCTGGCTGTCTTCACGTTTTGTTTCGGAATAGTAACATTAGACATTTGAGGAGCTTTTGAGGCATTGGCGTCTAATTCTAGGAAAAGAGAGCGGGATTTCTTGCTGATTTCTGAAATAATCAATAGTCAGTTGAATTTATATGCGCCGTTAGGTGTACGTACCACTCTGAAAAACCTCAGTATCTTCCTCGTCGTCGCCTTTAGTCTCTTTTTCATTGAAGGTTTCTCCTTTTTCAAATCGCTCTTTTAGAGATTTAGTATCGTAGGATTCGATTTTTTCAGATTTAATCAAATTGGCACATGATTCTGATTGCATAACCGCCTGTTGATAAGCTTCTTTCATTTTACCTTGTTTACCCTGCAATGACACATTTATTCATATCATGTATGTATTAATTTATTTATTTAATTGATACACAAAAATACAGAAAATAAGAATAAAACACTAAGGAAGAGACAGATATAAAGACAGTAATTGCAGTACATAAAGTAAATATTGTTTATAAAATAGCATCTAAGTGACTTAACACTTGTGTGTATGGTTGTATAAATTGATGTGATTAGATTTTACTTATATTTGGTTATTTGTTGGTCATTCTGTGAATGACCAACATCCAAAAAACAAAAAAACTAATAGTTTTGTTAAAAATGTTCTCTGGTTGTCCAGGCAAAATTTTGCAAATACAGAATTTCAAATTGACATAACATTCATCTATTGAAAACACTTAGCCATCTCCTGACGACTGAGTAGTCATTATACATTAATGAAAGGGTTTCAAGATTCATGAATTTATTCATGAAGATAATTTGAATTTAGGACAGTTATGTAAGATATAGAATACTGCATTTCAAAGGATATTAGTTGAAAGCCACAGGCCAAAAGGGAGAGAATTTGGTCTCAACAGGAGAATGCTTCACCTCCCACATCCCTAAATACTCATACTTTTGGCCACTTCGATCGCCAGACTCAATGTCCCTAAATCATTTTTTAAGCTTTGTTTTATGCATTCAGTAATTACTAAGGTTGGCAGCAAAGAACGTAATAGAACTGCTCTGAATTTTTTCTCATCTTTGAGCATCTTGAGGATCCGTTGAATTTTGAAGATATTTCAATATGATTGCTCTTCCATACCAGCTCCAGGTTACCAACAGATTAAAAAACATGGCAAAAAAGAACAAATATTAAAATTAAAATTATATTGAAATAGTTGCAGCAACTTTGTGTTACAAAAAAATGGATTTTCAACAAATTAATCTAGAAGCAATTGAGTGACTTGTATCTTATATTGAAACTCCATCAATTCTAAAGTATGAAAAGAATTAGCAAAGTTTTCACAATTACTGAAATTTCTGCATTAAAAAAATCATCCATCCTAAAATACAAATAAATTGAAAAATCGCCAAATAAAATGTCCTATTTGAAATGGGGAATTTATGTCCAGCTTCCTGTATAACCGAATGTGAATTTAAAATATTTTTAATGAAAAGATAATCAATTATTTCATGTCCTCAATTTTCAGATTTTAAAACACTGCACTCTATATATGTATTATAATAAACGAAATATGAAACATTGCAGTCCAGAGAAAAATAAAAGTTTCAAAGAGTATACAGAAAGTCGTGAGATTCCTTGTTTGAAATGACAGCCAAAGAAGTTCAGTGGCTTATGTTTTGTAAACTTCAGTTGGATTTTGTGGTTTCGATTTAGAAATAACCTTAAATATCTTTATAGATAATATAACACAAAATAGAAATGTTACAGGTAAAGATACGATGCGAGAACATCTGAATGTAGTTTTTAACATACAATTGTGTTTCCCATTACATATTGAAGAATCAAAAAATATGAGGCATGGAAAAAAAGGAATAAAATGAAAGAGAGGGCCTTTGATAGTTTTAGAAACACTAGTGTCAATTAAGATAAGTACCAGGTGTGAAATTTAAAAAAAGTAACTTCCGTTACGTGAGAAAGTGCAAATTATTTCTCAACATAAATTTTGATGAATTGGTCAAGAAAATTGAAAATACAATCCACATCATCGAATGAATAAATAAGAATGATGAACTTTCATTTGAAAGTATATGGAGAAGTCTTGAAATGTGTGGTAACTAAAATATTTTCAACTTTCAGTTACTTTCCAATTCAATCTGACGTAGATGTCACCTTCTTTATCTCAAATGAAAACTGTATTATATCGCATCTTTCAATTGTTCATCAAATTTTATATGCATTTGACAATTTGCAAGATTTTGATTGTGGCAGTTTCAAACATTTCAAATAATTAACTAATGAAATGTCCATTAAAGAAGGCACCTGAAGGCCGTTGATTGGTTACTGAAAAAAATTATTAGCTCTAGAATTCTATCGAATCTGGAAAAAAACCATACTGATTTCTGTGTAACTATACTCTACTATAGCTTTATTGGAGCAGATAGCTATTCTGTTAGTTGAACTGAGTGTAATACCTATGACCATTTTCTGATTTCTACAATGTACTTATGATGCACTGTTTGTAACCTTTGGTGTAGTAATGAATATCACTAGAGTTCTTTCTCAACACCAAATCGTTATTAACACCTCGACACGTGTTTTGATCACCAAGTGATCATCTTGAAGAGGAATATTAAACAGTTTAATCTTCCTCTTGAAGATGATCACTTGGTGATCGAAACACGTGTCGAGGTGTTAAAAATAACGATTTGGTGTTGGGAAAGAACTCCAGTAATATTCTACAATGTGTTTATGTTTTGATGTACCCAGTTCCAATACCGATTCATTCAGGCTGAAATGTCTATATTCAAGAAACAAGTTAGGATTGAGAGATATTTAATTGTTATAATTCAGTAGCCTTGTGTAATTTGATATTTTACTTTGAGAAAAAATTGCAATCAGCGAATATATTTGAGAACTTCAGTTTGGAATAAATAAAACAAAACTCATATTTGAAAAGCTGGAGAAACAAAATCTAGTGAATTTTTCTTGCCGTTTGTAGAATAGTTGCAATAATTAATTTCTTTCATAATTGTATCTATCATTCAACAGTTTAGTAGGACACGAGGTGCTTTCAATCAGCACTATTCCAAACCATTTTCGAAATTGACAACTTCAAAAAACCCTGGCGGTTATTTGGTATTCGATGAAGGATTCATAGCTTTATCACACTTCATATATATATAGATCAAAAAACCAAACGAATGGAGATGAAGTTTGGCAAATGATGAAATTTAAATAATTACCATGAAAAGTTTATTTCTAATTGACTGTATTTCTTGTTTCCGTTCTTCTCTTCTTTCATCCCTGGAGTTTTGTTCCCCGTGTTCCCATTTGTTTTTTACTTCGGACAGGTTGGTGAAATGGAACGGTTTTTCCTTTTGTACCCTCTTAGCCTTATACAACGTAGGATCTTCGCCTTCTGGAACATCTTCTTCAGCCTCTTCTTCCGTGTCACTTCCTTCGACTGGGATGCCGTTTAAGGAATCATCAGAGACGCCTATATCCATGCCCTTTTGTTGAAACCTGATGAAAAGTTGATGTTCAATCGGACTGACTATATACAATTGTTCATAAAACTTATCTATACTAGCTTTAGTCAGTGAAACATCAAAAACATATCAATCTTATCTAAGCTGTAAAAATTATATTGCTATGGATTGAGTTATGAACTTGTTTCACGCGAAAATTGGTCTACAGGAATATCAAAATGAATTAATGAATGAAATTACTTGGCAAGTTTAGACAGGATGGATGGTGATCTTTTGACGTTAACTGTGGCAGTCCCCCTGTCGGTTTCTTGAGTTTCTGTTTGATACTGTTCAAACACTTGGAATCTCTCTTTAACATTCAAACTCTGCAATTCTTCCAGACCTAAGTCAGGCTTGTCACTTGCTAAAATATAAAAGTTCAATTATTATAACATCACTCTTAGTTAGATACTGGTTTCGTTAAATTTTGTTAGCGCTAGTAGTTGGCATTTTGTTAATAGAACAACTATCAAAACAAATTAATGAAGTTGATAATTTTGATAATTGTTAATTGAGGATAAATTGAGGTATGTTGATGCCATTTTCGAAAGTACTTTTTGTGAGTTCAAATATTCAGATATTAGAGTCGTAATAAAAAAATATACTTTTTATCATTCGTTTATTCTTTCTTGCTGCATTGAAATTGAAAGTGTGTAGGTATCGCGGAAGAGAAATACTATCGTTAATTTAAAACTTCATGCGTTCAAGCTTTTTCCTGCGAATTTTTTCGCCAAAGAAGTATGCATCAAACGAATAAAATATGTGAATCACAGGCAACATATAGATATATCAGTGGTTTATTGATTCAATTAGTAAAAAAGGCACAACACACATTCTTGTACCTCTTACTACATCTGGGGGTAATTCTAGAGGTTGATTCTCTCTTATTATAAGTTCGGGTTTCCTGGGCCTTGCTGAAATAATTTTTGTTAATTTATTTTAAAATATTTTTGAAAATAAAATGGTCAAAATAAACTTTATAATATTAGTTTCTACTAGCAAATCAATGATAACTTTAATACATATCTGTGTTACCTATACATAAGACATGAAAGAACAAACATGTTCAGACAGACATAAAATTGTAGAATTTTGTGGATTCTAGGTTTTGGGGGTCCACAGAAAAAGTCTTGAGAACCTTTAAATCAGTTCAGAGTTATTTCAAGCCTATTGTACTATGTTAACAATAAGCATGATGAAAGGTTTTGAAATATCTTCTTTTAGTAAGACAGGTATGTCTCCAATATTGCCGAACAACCCAATATTTCAGTAATAAACAAGGTTTTTAACGGAAATTATTGCACAAAATGAAATGAGACATATTTCGTTTGTTAAATATTAATTTCAAATTTTACAAGTGGTGTATGAAACTACTGTGCAAAATACGCCTATAACAAAACCTAATAAAGTGAATTCAAATAACAAAACTAATATGTGATTGAAGTTGACACTGCGTAACTCAGCACACGTACCTACTGATTCGACAATTGTGAGAACTACTTTAATGTAGTATATTCTGTAGATAAATAGGTGAGGTACATTTCTTTCATGAATTATCGATTTAAATGGACTATTTATTCTGCTTCCAGCAGCCAAATGATAGACAAAAAATGCAGTATCATGTACTTACAGAACACAGATACAGATACTCACTTAGACTGGTACCTAGTACTAAGTGAATATCGCGAATACTGAAAGATCTTTGAAATAATGTGGAGAGATCTCAACAGTTTGAGACAACATAGGGGTAATAAACCAATTTAAAGGTTGTAATTAAAAAATGAAGAACTATCTCCTCAATGAGACGCCTGCTAAGATTAGCCCTACTCCATATAAAACCAACTATTTGAGACAAATAAATAGAGTTAATTACCTGTCATTACCTACAGTGGTGTATAGATATATGAGGGTTACCATTGTTAATTATTTTAGTTTATTGTATTCCCTTGAAAATGTCCTGCAAAACTGCAGTAAGGATACTTACAAATAAGTGGTAAAAAAAGAAAGTTTTATTTCTCATTTTTCATTAATAAATAATACTACTGCTTTCTATTTACGGATTGCAGAATGTATTCTCATTAGAAATGAATAAAACTTCCGAATTGAAATATAAATTTCGGGATTCAAATTAAACCGAATAATGCTGTTTTATTCTTAACTGAAGAATTAAAACTTAGTATTTCCTGAACGAATGCAAATACATCTTTCTTTAAAGAGAGTGAATTTCTTTATGAAATGACGTGAAATGCGATAAGAATTCTTTCTATCATTGCGAAACAGTTTTCAAGAAATTACTGATCTGAGATAGGATTGATCATAAAGATATAGAATGCAAACAAAACACATCCAAGATACATTATACTTCGAAATGAACAAGTCTGGAGATAATTTAAAAATTGAACAAGGTGATTTCAAAATCATTTATATTTTAGGACAAACTGTGGAAATAGTTAACATTTTTCTACAACGATTCAAAAATTACCGCGTACTCTTGGATACTAAGGTACAGATGAAATAGGTGGGCATAATGCATCATATCTTGAAACGAAAAACATTTCATTTTTAGTAAATGTACTAAACGATATTGAATGTTGGTGTTTGAGATGTACCATTCAAATATTCAACCTGCTAATAGAAACAGATATCAGATTTGTCAAAAGCATTGTCAACATAAATGTTTTTGACATTTTTCGCATACATATCAAAAGTTTGATCAATAAACTAACTTCAATTAATTATAAAAATTAGTTATATCCCTCTTTCACTCAACTCAATCGATCAAAATGAGTGCACTTCCATGATTTTAAAAACTTCAATTTCTTTAACGTATAATAATCTGAAACATAAAATTAGTATTCACACAACATTTCGAATATGATGGACTCAAACACAATTGTCTAAATTGCATTCAAAATGTATCTTTTGAATTAACTATCACGAGATTAGAAGTGAATCTCAACTCATTAGGAACATTATATCGGAAGGAAACAACAGGATCTCAAAAGGATACCCACTTATCCGGATAGCATATCCTTCTCCTTTTCTTTATGAACTTTATTTGATAATAAGCAGGCCCACCATACGAGTACAACAGATTTAGCGGATTCCTGCATACATTTTGTTGAAGGAATAAAAAACGATAAATAAATAAGTGAAAGTGATAAGACCAAACAACTGACGATAAACGGAAACAATATTGGGCGCGGTCAATTACATTTACAAACAAAAAATGCTGATAAACACTGTTCCATCTTTAATTTTTTCAAGTACACGGATTTTATGAAATAACCAATTTCAAAGGTTAGAACTTAAGAAAATATGATAATAAATGTGATCCAATAACTAACATTTACATATTCAAGGAAGTACCATCAAAAATTTTACCTTCTTCCATCACAAGAACAACTCGCGCCAATCACCAAGATTCGATTGTTTAAAACAGAGGCAACTTACCACCAGCAACCTCGTTACAAACGCGCTTTTATCGGGAGATACATTCCTCCTTTAGAACTACGTTCGTACTGATAAAACCACAGTTAATGATAATATTCACCAACTGCTCCAACTCGAAATGACTCATGTAAATATCGCGAATGTACGGTTACTTTAATTTTGAAACTGTATACATATGCTCGAACGGGTACAGTAACCAACTGACTCTCGGTTCGCAAAAAATGCGGACGAGAGAAGAATCTCTTGAAACTCCTTCTCACGACTGGAAACAATCGGATTTCGTATGAATAAAACATAAAATAATTCTCACTTAGTTACCGTATTCAGTTCGAAAAATGGTAGAAAGTGAACTATTCTGATGAACTACATACATTATTAAAGAGTATTAAATCAAAGTTAATGATATACGGAGGATTAACTGAATTAGTTTCTTTACATCCTCGTAGGAGTACTGTTATAATTCCCAGAACGGGAAAAGAACGAAACATTGTTCATCCATATGTAAAAAATTATTGGTTGGGAACGTAGTCGCGGAATATATTTTTTATAAAATTACTTAAAACGTTATTATCACACTAATTAATTCCATTATGAAACAAAGGATGAGGCAAATATAATATAGACGCAGATATTCTTGTATAATTTCGTTTGTTCGAGGTTAGAATAAATGCCTGCTTCTACCACTTTTCTACTAAGAATTGTTGCTAATTCTGTTTATGTCCAAAGCAATACGCTGTGTGATACGATAGCCTGCTAGGACGATAGCCTGGTGGGTTGACGTCGGTGGTTAGTTCCACTCACTCAATCAACTGCTATGTGAACCGGTGGTTCAAACCGCAAACCGGACGATCGATTTTCACTTCCTATCGTCCAACCCGTGTTAGGAATCACACGTTAAAAGGTAAGACCTCGTTAGTCCTTAGCTCGCACAAGTTTCGACTTTTGAGAGTTGTCGTTCGTAGATGGGCGACAGCTGTATAACGGAAAAACAGATTTTGATATAATCGGAAAGTAATCTATCCATCTGGTGAATAAACGGTTAGCAGAATGGTAAGTAAACAACTCCGCATAACTCTTATGATAAATGACTCTCAGTTGAGTTAGTTGGTTCGTTGCAACTCTGCAGTAATGTTTTTCAAAATATGATGAACAAAAATAACTCAGTAGCGAAGTGTTAACAATTCTAGACATCTTATTTGCTTCCGAAACTTTTTATTTATTTACTTTCGAATCAGACAGGTTTTTTATCTCAACGATTTGGTTTATTCTTTATTGAGAACTTCCTCGTGAAAGTTTTTTTAGCCGATTTACTAATCCTTCCGTTACATTATTGAAGTTGTAAAGGGGCATTAAATATGTATTTCCTAAAAATTGTCTGCCACAGCTCATAGGAATTTGCAAGTGTGGTAGTAAAAACGTTCAATCTTAGGCATCCGGAAAAAATGCAAGGGTGCGAGATCAGATGTATACGAAAATATGTATTGGAAACTAGAAAAATCGAGAAATATGGAAAAACTAGACGTTTGTCGAAATTACTTAGTAAGTGATCGACCGTAAATGTTTAAAAATGAATGAACAGTTTTTTTCTGATTGACTGGCCGTTACTTGATCCATAGTAATTTCACAAACTAGACGTAACGATTTGATTTTCACACAACTAAAAAAAAAAGAATTAACTTTTAGTATGTTATTCACTACGAAAAAGCTACTGTAATAGCGAAACATGTCGTGATATTTTTGAAAATAAAGTTTGGGAAGATCAAATTCTTAGGTGTAGTTTGTGAATGAACAGTGTTTGTCTTCCAATGGTAGATTTGTTGACGTCAGTTATCGCAGAACATAAAGTATTGTTGAAAACTGTTACTTGGTCTAATGTAGTATTATTTATTCACTGTTGTTGTTTACTGTATTCCAATAACGTTTTTTCTAATGCAGAAAAAATATTGATTTTTGCAACCTACCATCGAAATATTATATATGTTAAAGCAGCTGCAAGAATTTTCAACAAATCATCCAAACCATCAATACCTACTTTGAAGAGGTAGTGGATAAATTTGTAACTTCTGGTCCCAATAAAAAATATGAAGAATGTTAGAAATGCTAAAAGCAGGGAAAATTGCAGTCTTGGGCCATTTACAAATGGATAATCGACAATTATCAGAAAGATGGCTAGAACATTTGGTGTATCAGTTAGTAATAATATTCGGATTTTGAAAGCCCACAAATTAATTACTTTCAAAACAGGGCTAGTTCACGAACGAGACTAAGTTGATCCTGATCGCTGACTTCAGTTGATATTTTTTTTCAGTTAAAAAAACTTTCATGTTGAATAGTGAAATAGACATAATGAATCCTCATTTGATGATGGAAACATATCATTAAACTCTACGAAAATTGAATGCTTGGGCCGAATTTCCAGTTGGATCATTCCTAATGAAGGTATCATCAATCAAGATACATTACAAGAATGAAAATTTACTATAAAACAAAATAAAGGTACAGCAGGATGGTGCACCTTACACTTAGATGCTCGTGTGAGATGAATACTTCTAATGAATGCGATGGATCGGCAGACAGAGACCAGTGGAGTGGTCAGCTAAATCATCAGATGTCACACCTCTGCTTTCATTCTGATAAAAATTTACTCTACTATATAAGTTCTGAAAATCGAGAAGAACTGTTCACAAAGGCTGATTGCTGACCTCCCGGACATCTTGTATAATGCAAGGAAAGGTTAAAGTTGATTGCATTATTGCATAAAACTTGGTGTAAATTATTTTGATACAAATATCCACTGATATTGTCCCCAGTGATGTTTTTTGTTGTTAATTTTCCTCAATGAAAGAAACGACCGCAAGTGTTAATTTTTTTCTTGAATAAAATGTTTGTCGAATTTTTCGAAAATAATCAAATCTTAACAACAAGCTGCTTTTTCGCATACTGAAGGCGCATTCGAATCAATCATCTAGATGACGAAGAGAAGAATGATCGACGAAACAAGCTACAGGTGGATACGGAAATAATAGTGGCGTTAGGAGCAAGGAGCTCTCCTTAGGGAGAGTTTTGCCCAAACTCATGGAACCTAGTAATGAAAGAGTTTAGGTCATAATAAATATAAATACTAGGCTATGCCGACAACTGGGTCATCTTACTCCAGTAAAAATATAAAAATTTAATGAGAGGGTGCATTCAGCATTCCCACATAGGATGAATTGATGGGAGTCATATTAGATCTCAAACTGACCTGGAAAAACATTTACTCAGAATAAACATAAAGGCTGATGTAACACAAAAATATACTTCGTGCTCATGGTTTATACAATAAAACTTGAAGAATGGCTCTGACATTATAAAAAAAGAAGTAACTTTTTCTGAAAGTTACTTATTTGCATGATCTACACATCTTTGTATAGAGTTAATTTTTGAAATTGGTTGCTTCGTTCCTTTCTTTGGAAGATTCCCACATTTCAGCCTATCCGATATTTCACGCCGAACATTTTCGAACACAGTAACGTCCATATCTCTACAAATATTTATTATTCTCTGCCGTATATCCAATATTGAAGCAGGTTCAGTTTCATACACGTTTTGCTTCAAACAACCTAATAAAAAAAAGTCCAAATTGACACCGAAGGTGTCAATTTGGTGTCCAAAGGTGTTAAATCTGGCGAGCGGGCTGGCCATTCTGTAGGACCTCTACGGCCAATCCAACGACTGGGAAAAGTAGTATCCAAATAGTTACTTACTTCTCTGGAGTGATGTGGTGGTGCTCCATCTTGTTGGAATACAATATCCATATCGAATTCATTAGGATTTGCTTCGACGATTTCAGTGATGAGAGGGTCAACAGTAGTTTCCAGCACATTCAAATATAGTTCTCCTGTTGAATTTTCATCAATAAATACAGGTCCTACAATATGGTTTCCCAATATTCCTGCCCGAACGTTAATTTTTTCTGGATATTGGGTATGTGTTTCCCGGAAAACGTGAGGGTTGGGTCACTTCAATAACGGCAATTTTGTCTGTGAACATTGTCGTTTAAAAAAAATGTACATCCGTTACTAAAACAAATATTGTTGAGATAGGTAGGATGCCTTGCAATGGTTTCCATCATGATTTCGCAGAATTCTGTTCTTCGATCAGGGTCATCTTCAGTTAAATGGTATACCATTCTAATTTTGTATGAATGATACATATTCCTCTTCAGAAGTCTCCACACAATAGAAGCAGACACCTCACAAACATTCGCGACGGAATAAGTAGACTGTTCAGGATTTACTACCATCTCACCAATTATTTGCACTTGCTGTTTTTCCGAAATGGATGAACGACCTGAGGGCATTTTGTTATGTACACTACCGATAGTTGTGAATTTGGATACAAATTTCCTCAAATATTTTCTACAGTTAGGACGATTCGGGAAACGTTCATTGAAAATCCTTTCGGTCTCGTGAAAGTTACGCGTCGCACCGTAAATAAAAATAGCTTAAATTTTTTCTTCCAATGGACGAGAATTGACCATTTTAGAGAATGTTGACGTGGTAACTTTCTACTAGTAAAACCGAAAAATGAGAATATTCTAACTGAACAATGATGTTCATTGTCGTACCTACTGAAATTTTTTGTCGTTTTTTTAAACAAAAAATAACTCAACAAACTTTATTAGGTTGTTGGAATGGCCATATGCCAGATAAAAAGAAATATTTCTAGATATATCGATATTAATATGTTTGTCTTCAGGAAATTATTAAATGTTCCGCCATTTTGTAGTAAGTGAAGATATTGACTTCATATTCCAGGGTTGTGAAGTATTCGTCAGGAGCTTCAAAATGATGTGTCACAAGACTTACCTTAATTTTTTCCCAGATGGCGCCCAGTCGCCATCTTGAAAGTTTCATCTGTCAATTTCACTTCAAAATAAAGTATTCATGTATTAATTTCATTACCCTAAATTTCAATTTTTTGAGTTGACCCGTTCAAAAAATAAAAGAAATGCACAGTATACAGCAAAAGACACAGGTTCCAGAGTTATTCAAATAATACAGTGAAAAATTGGCTAAATATGTTATTTTTTAGATGACACCAGAATTGGCAGCATATTAGATGGACGTCGAATTTTCATTTTGTTGCTCTATCTAGTTAGGCTCTGTAGATATATTCGTTCATTCCTTTCCATAAAAGCCGGATTGTTGAAGAATACCTTCTAGCACGAGGTGTAACCGTTCTGGACTCGCCTGAATACTCACCAAGTATTATATCGTCAAAATGAAATTGTTTTACTGAAATTTACTTCAAGACTCCTAGTTGGATCATCAAGTTTCATTAGCAATATTCATTTATATTTCTTTACCAATAATAGGAACCTCTCAAAAATTAATAAAATATTCATTAGGAAAATGTATAGGTCCTGAAACATTATTTTTAGCACCAGAAGGATGTTACAAAACGGGTACTGAAATAAAGAGAACATACGCAAGTATCGTACTTTCAATGTACGAATGCTATCATGTATCATGACGTACAGAACCTTCAAAAGATACAGGCTTGACATTTCATCAACATATATTTATTGTAATACTTACGTGGTGACTCTTCCTCTACGGCTTTTGGGGCAAATAGAGATTTGAAATGGGGTTTGCAATATAAGTTTCCTTCATGGCTAACGTAGGTTTCAACTCTACAAAAATGCAAAAAATACTGTTGACATCTTCCTCCCAATTACTCACAAAGTACTCACGTTAATTGTTTACTGCATTCCGTACATCTAAAGCAGTTTTTGTGCCAAATCGCTTTCTCGGCTTTGATTTGTTCCATTTGAAATACTTGTTTTGAACAAGCTTTACAATTTGTAGTGTCAAGCGGCTGTGCTCCCTGAAAACAAGTGTAACTGGTAAACAAAACAGTGATGTTGAAAACAACGGAGTGCACAGAGTAAAATTCAGGGAATGAAATATTTCGAGTAGTATTTTTACTTTATCACAAAAACGAAAATAACAACAAAGAATTTCCAAATGGAAACGGAATCAGAATACTTAAAAAACTAGTTAAATATGAAATGATTTTCTTAACTGTATCAAACGTCATTTTGTGATTCAAATTCCTTTTCCGCCTTCGAACCACAACTAAAGCCGAAATGTAATCAGTTTCCTTTAATTATCATTTCTGTCATGTAGCTCTCTTTCTCGATAAGTTAAATCTAATCTAATGTGATGATATCCGACTCAATATTTGAAGTGAATCTTACGTACACTTCTGAGAACATCTAAGATGACAATAAAATAATTTATTACTCAGGCCAATATAAAAAATGTACACAAACAAATGTCGACAAGTCTTTGAATTACCTACACATTTCGTACTCATACAAAAATAACTTGGAATCTTCAGGTATTAGCGTATTTTAGAGTATTAATTAATTAAACAAACAATTTCAATTCTATATATTTTAAAATGTTCACTAACAAGCTTCTATTCAACTTGCTTTGTATGAATGTATGTAATTATAAGAAATGGCTAAATATCGCCACATGCTCTTATATAATTCAAATAATTTAATGTAATAAATTGTTGGACTTGAATTTATCAAAAATTATTTNTGTGAGTTCTGGCCATTATTACGCATTGGTCAAAGACGAAACAGACTGGTTTAAGTTTGACGATAGTCGTGTCACTAAGTGTTCTGGCGATGTCTTGAATTTATTGGAGCCTCTGGAGACACTCTACATTGTGTTTGATGAGAGAGGATATTGGCTGATCAAGATCTTCAGATGATGCTACCGCCTACCGGTGATCGACGCCGATCACCGGTCGGCGTGTGTGCCAGGTCCCGTTCCCACATGTGGTTCACTATTGGAATTTGGACGACCGGTTTAAAATCGGCCGTCCAAAATCGATGTGTGTGCAATTAGCCTAAGAGGTAGTAGTCAGTCCTCTAGTATATAGAAACACTAACATAGTCGTAAAATTTAGTCACAATGACCTCCTGAGGACGCCAACTTGATTAGCGAAACGAGCGTCGTGAGATCTTAATTTTTGTGCTGGTGTTGGGAAAGTGTTTTCAATGGACCACAAAATATGGCTATACAATAGAGACCTCATGCCTCATGCGAATGTATCTCAGAAGGCAAGCAAATCAATCACAAACATTCAACAAAGACCCTGTACAAACTAGTATACGGTAAGATTGTTGTACAGGGCTTATGAAAAAGTGGAAATAAAACGCAATGATAAATTGTCCGATGTTTCCGAATGTATTAGCCATCGACTACAGGTATTTATATCTGACGTTTCGTCTGCTACTGCGGCATACATTATCAAAGGCGATGCGGTAACGGTCGAAGTGATCTACATTGCTGCGATGCGAAAATACTCATTTCGGTTCTTGAACATGTCTTGCCCTCTCTACCAGAGTCCTAATAACTCCTCCTTTCTGTTGCGGATGATAATTGGTGTGCTTGTGCAAATATCGGTCCGTATGGGTTGGTTTTCTTTATGGGTCAGTCTGCCACTCTCCCGTCTTTCTATTAATACATCCAGAAAAGCGATTCTCCCTTTTTTTTTCTTTTTTCTTCATTGTGAACTGGTGGCGAACGGCCAACGAAAGAACTTTTCTGCCCAACATAAGTGGTGTTGCCAAGACCATTTTTAATTTGCGCATCGCAGGAAATAAGTTCACTTCGACCGTTGCTGTATCGTCTGCCGCAGTAGCAAACGAAACGTCAGGTAACTGTAGGCCACAGCTAATAAACCCGAAAAGATCGGACAATTTGTTAGACACCGGTCGCGAAAGCCTTCACATTATGACAAAACGCAGTAAGTTCCGCAGTCAGACCGCTTTCAAGTAGTAAAAAAAATATTTCATAACAGGTTTTTGAAATTTTTGTTTTTTTTAGTCTATCTATATATATCTACTGTCGAATTATTCACTTAAAATATGAGAAGTCTAGTTTATGATTCTTGCGGTCATCTGTAGGTAGGATAGGAACTGAAATTCATTTCATATTGATCTTCAATGTGAGAACAGAAATACATTTTTGTGAGTAATTGCGAGAAAATATGCAGATTTCAATTGACAATGGTCTACTAATACTTCTGATTTTTCATCGTTTTAAAATGAAAAATCATACAAAAAATTATTCGAGGATCTATGTATTGCAGAAAATCGGTTTCGCTTATGAAAATGATTCATATTTTTCACAAATTATTCAATTGAGATTGTGTATATTTTCTTTTGAAACTGTTTACTTTTCATTCGTTCCAGACTAGAATTTACAGCCGGAAATATGAGAACAGAGAATTCACATCCAACATTACAAAAATAATCAAATTTTTGAAATGAGTATGAGAATATTATATGTCTGGACTTGGTTTTCTAGAATAACAAATTTGTACCCTGAGAGTACAAAGAGACATTATGAAATAGAAAATTGGAAGGGCCCAACTGGGGATGTTACTGCTACTATCTAGTTTAACCAGTTTTATAAATGAAATATTTATTGTGAAAGCTGCAAGAATTTTCAACAAATCATCCANGAATGACGTATTCATATACAGGGTGTTCCATTTAAAAAAATATATCTTTGGTTGATCACGCTCGGATGAATCACCCAGTATGTGAGAAAATAATTTTGAAAGATAGTATTTATCGATATGACTGCAAAAAATTGGGCAGTTCGAAAAATAGTTTCATCTGATAGCAATGGACCGAGGGAATCTTGTTGACTCACCTTGTATTGTGTAGCGTTCCTATAAATGGTATCTGTTTCAATTCCACAACGAATTTTTTTAGTTCAAACTGAACAGGAAAAAGTTATTTTAGAGAAGGTTTTTTTTCCAGTTTGTATCTGAACGTAATTTCTATGAAAAATCTAAACATCTTTGTAACATTTTGTGAGATTTTCACTGGAAGACTGAGGAAGGTATTGTATAGGAAAACACGTGTTGCGGTTTTTAAACTATCCAGTGAAGACTACAATGACATGTTTACAGGTAAACTGTTTCGAAGTAAAATTAATTTTGGTATTATGAAACATTTTTCAACTTACCAGTTGAGAGTTTTTAAATGGCAGTTTAACTATGCCCAGTGGTTTTTTATTCTCCACGATATTGAATTTCTCTTTCTATTAAATTTGCCATGCATTTACATGCAAAAAAACCATGTTAGTCTTTTCTAATCTAAGAATATTGCCAAAGTGAAGTAAAAACCAATAATTACTAAAATCTTTCTTTTAATCTAAATATTCTGTATCTTTCTCGAAAAAACACAGAAACAAAAAATTGAAACCCAACTTGACCAGAGCATTGTAGTAACTATATGGTTTTTCTTCTGATTCAAATGCTTACCAACGCTCTCACAGAGACTTCCGAGAAGACATTCTCAATATTTTTTTTATGAGACGAAAGCAAAACATCTGACAACGACTTAGTTCGCTATAAAACAAGCACAAAATAAATAAACATGCAAAATTAATATAAACTGATTATGGAAATGATAGGCACATCTGGTATTTCAGATATTCCAAACAACAATTAGGTAATGACCAATTTTTGATTATCTTCGATTTGAATTGTTGCTAGAACTGAAAAAAAAACCATTACAAATTCTTTCATATGAATGATAATGGTATTTGAGATAAATACATTTATACTCACCAATCGATAATGGTTATCAATTGCGTCACGTATTTCTGGTTAATTTAAAAAATACTTTACCGTGTTAATTCGAAAGAACAAAAATTGGACAACTTCACTTTGAATATATGAAATAATGTGGATGTGCTACATCATTTTATATTCTAAAGCGAACAGATAAAGTAAAGAGCCATTCAATATTATTTGTTATCGATCTTAATTAATATTGCTCTGAACAGTGATTCTAAACTGTTGACACAAAAACATTTGTATAGAGTAAGAAACTTTCAATGTTGCAGAATACAAACTCCCTATTCTAGGGATGGAAATAACAAATTTCATTGTATGGACAATATTCAACCTTGATATTGAATTTATTCCTTACTTTCACTGTACATTGTATGAAAGAAACAATCATTAACCAGCTTCTTGATTCAAACTACAAATCTTAAGCTTAAGCTTTAAAGTAGGTTTTTTCCTTGTTATATTTGACGAGAGAGCTGCTGACACCAATAAGGCTTTAAAGTTAATACTGAAATCTGATAAAAGGAATAAGAAAACAAATAATCTTACCCCGGAGTTTCTGACCTGACGGTTGAAGTCTTTATCCTCAGCAATTTTTGTTAAATCTCCAAAACTTCTACACTGCTTAGCCAAACAAAATATCAACAGGCCATGCATGCAAAAAATGCAAAATGATTCATCAATTACTAAAGCACTACAAAGGAAATGAAATAATCTTCAGGTGAAAACCATGAAAACAAATGAAAATATAATTATGAAAATCATCAAAAAATCAATACAATTTGTTTTGAAGTTTTACCTGAATATGATGTGTAATTCGACAAAAAACTATGCTTACCAAACTTTTAACATTAACATTATAGACATTCTCCCCATTTACTACATCAAAGTCATTCTAAAATAAAGTTTTAGTTTGTTAGGAAAAAATAAAACAAAAACGTTACTAGAAGTTAAATCAAAATATGCACTTCAAAAATACCGAAAACTTACAACTGATATATTCTCTTTTTCTTCTTTCCTAGATTTTTTGATTTTCTTCTTTTTCAGCGATTTTTCCTCTGGAACGTCCGATTGAATGGTCGTCGTTTCTGTATAAGTTTCAGTGACAGTGCTCTAAACGATAGAAAATAAAATTCCAGAATGTATGTAAATGAAAGTAAATTACAAGCCTTTAATGATATTCTGTTAATAAAATAACCCAAATATTTAATAAAACCACCCAAAATAAACTTCCACGAACTCTAACACTCATGCAAGACTAACACAACTTACTTTTGACCCAATCAACTGAAAATATAAAATCATATTCTACTCACTTCTGGGTCGATGCCTGTACCATCTCCAGAATCTAAGTGCTCAAATTTACTGATCTGTTCCATAATATTGATACTTCTCCTCAGTTCGCTAGCTTCATCTTTTTTGGTAGTAGCTACAATCTCAGCACCGCTTTTCGAAAACTGACTCTTCAAATTTTTAACAATTTCAGGAGGAACGGTTTCCGTATCCTTCTCCCTATTGCTAATGTCGCTGCTCGTGGAAGTTTTTGACACAACCTCGGTATACTTTTCGTAATAGTTACTTTCCATTTTGCTATGATACACGAATTCCGAATAGGTTTCTTTAGTCTTGCTCTCTAGGGAATCTCCAATATTGCTTTCTACAGTCTCAACGTTACTCGCCTCACTCCTAAGTTCAGATTGAGATTCAAATGTTTCTTTGTGCTTTTCGACTTGTTCAGAATGTACGAAGTATTTTTCCGTTATTTCTTCTTCTCCTCCTACAGTTTCGTAATGTTCGAATTCAATAATTCCAGTTTCATTGATATTTTCCTTCCTGCTACAATCAGTTATCGGCTCTAGTTCGGGTACTGACTCGTTACTATATAAACAATTTTCTACAAACGTTTCCTCCGAAATCTTCACGTTCTCTTCGACATCTCCCACGCTTTCATATACATCGTCTTCTTTGGCGAAGTCTTCTTGTTTAGGCATATTTTTTTCTTCGACGTATTCGTCGATATCTTGGTAGATATGCTCTTCGTGTTCCTCTAATTCCTCCACCGCCCTTTGGACATCTTTCAGGTTTTCATAAATATTCTCTTCCTTCACTGCTTCGTCTACATTCTGATAAATGTTTTCGGCATTTTGTTTAAGAAATTCAGCATTCTCATAGATATTTTCCTCTTTTGCTTTACTATTTTCCGGTAATTGGGTGGCTGAAGGGTCGCTAATCGACATTGCTGCGCTAATATCGCTGGTACTGTTTTCTTCGCTAGTTTTGGTTAAATCTTCTTTGGGTGGAGACTCGTTGGAAGCTGAGGAGTCGGAATTGATATTTTCCCGTTGGAAGCCTTTGAGGAAATCGATGTTTTCTTCGGAAGGGGTCAACATAGGCGAGGTAACTGTTTGAGTGAAAAGTAAAGTAGCAGCATCGTCTGTGGCTAGTAACATTCTATCTTTTACAGATTTTGCGTTGTCTTCTGGAGATCTCTGTTCGGAGAAGTCTGTAGTTTCCATACTGAAACTGGGTCGGTTAGCATCCTCTTGCCTAACAATTTCGTAACTACTTTCGATCGTTTCTTCTACATCTTCGTAACAAACGTTTTCAACTTCTACTTTGGGGCTTAAATCTAATGTAAGATTAGGTTCAACACGTTCGGACGAACTCAATTTGACGTTTTGGTCCGATGGTTCAGTCTTTTCAATTTCTCCGTATTCGGGTAGCGTTTCGTAAATATTTTCCGTTTCTTCGTCAACTCCTTGATGTTCTCTAGAGTCGTTTTTGACCACAACGGGACTGTCGTAGGAATGTTGGCGCTCATTTTGTAGTAAATCGTAACTTGCAATGCCACTTTCGGGAATGGGTCTTGCGCTGGCACTCATGCTTTCATAAAATGTGTCGTCTTCTTGGTTCTTCTGATCGGCGATTTGTGGATCATCCTAAAAGAGCTGTTAGTAATACACCAAAAAAAACAAAGCGAACTAGATTAGAGAAAACTAAATTCGAGTTGGTGGTTCGAATAGTACCGAAAGTTTGGTCTGCTACTGCGACAGACGCGTTGACCGCGAGAACGAAATGTATGTCTCGAAGTTTCAGAAACAACCTACCAGCCCCGATTTTGTTCTCTTTAATCCGAACTCTGGCCTTAAAAGCCTATGTTCTTATGAAGCGAATTAGATTTGAACACATTTTCAAAATTGGTAATATCCGAAAGACTAAACAAATCAGTAAAATTAAATACATCTATAGAAATATTCAACCAATAAGCGACGTAAACTGATAAGTTTAGTCATCTCAATTCGGATGTACTAATGGTATGGCATGTGTTGATGAGTGAGACTGACAAAGCATCAATCAAGAAAACAAAAAAAATTCAGTTTTGAGGTGTGTTGTCCATATAATAATACTAGTGTGATACCAAGAGACTTGCCTGGTTGCAGCCCCATAAAATTAGAAAAATTCAATTCTGTTCAAGAAATAAATAATTTGATTTTTTTTCAAAATATTAATTGGAGTTGCATTAGTACCTAGTTTTTCATAAATACTTAAATTGTGTCTTTGTTTCAAGCTTACTCTCTAGCGAAACATTCTGGGTGTGCTTTCATGTGGCGATCTCGAAGAGCGGTAACAAATAATAAGAATTTTTTTTGCACAGGTACTGTCATTGAATACTCATTCAAGTAATGATAGAAAAAAAATTGCTCTTAGTTTTCACCAATTATTTTGATATTCTTAAAAAACAAACACTTGATATAACGAGTGATATTTATTTCGAAAGGAAAATTGAATTATTATTCGAAACCGAGTGGAGTTAATTATTGGTATACCTGAATTTCAATGTATGATAACTGTATTCTTGATCCAAATCAAAAGATTACACAGGACGTCGAATGTGATAGCTCGTTCTATTTTGCGAATTTGAAAAACCTCGACTTGAATATTGAGCAGGCAATGGTTGGGTTAAGGCAAAATAACTAGAAACCACTATTATTTCGTTGCCAACGTTTTGACTTTCATAAAGTTATCTTCAAGGCAATACATTTTTTGTTTTCTAGTAGTCTGTTCACTGTGCGGGCTGCAATTTGATCTCGAATTGTAGTTTTGCGGATATACAAATATGGTAAAACATCGATTCAGGACTTATGAATCTCTGATATACATGTCTTTTTTTCTGTCATTATTCAATTTGAAATCCACATTGCAGTTAAACGAATGAGAACTTATTAGAACCAGGAATTGGCATATTAAAATTATTTTTGATTGGAATGAACTCAGACAGAACTATTCATTTTGTTCTGGTAATTCACTGTGGTATAAGTGATTGATTTGAATATCGGTTTGTAAAATTATTACATTTGAATTATTCATGTGATCAATACATGCAATACTTTCTTTTGAAAATGTGTTTCTTTAAAAATCGACACAAAAATACAAACTTTGCTCATGCAATTTTTTAGTCTCATGTTAAATTCTTCCAGCAAAGACTCTTCAAGATTGTCATCGTCGTCACTTACTATTCGGGACTTCTTTACTGTATCCGCCATCTGTAACAAATACAAATTCCACTGAAATTCAACATAAAGAACAAGAGTATTTAAAATCGAAAATATACCCATTTCAACCAGTTTATGAATAAGCGTTATGATCTTTGAAACACCTGAGATGAAGATAACCTCGTAACATTTTTTTCAAATAGGGTCCTTTACCATAGTTTTTTTATGATGAGTGTATTCTATACTTGAATGAAAATGCACAGTAATGCCTAGTTTGAAGTATAGTAAGATTACATTTTTCAAAAGTATACTAATTATTGATTTCCAAACAAAAATATTTTCCAGGAGAGTTCTATCTGTCATTTACTCAATTACTGAAGTATTATTGGCAGTAATTGTGGATTTGGCGCCCGACTCACGATCGAAAGGCCGTGGATTCGATTCCCGCCTCGACCAGATATTTTTCTCGAGATAATTTATCTGGTTGAAGCTGGGATGATTATGCAACCGTGTTAGGAATCACACGTTAAAAGGTAAGACCTCGTTAGTTTTTAGCTCGCACAAGTTTCTCAACATCTGAGAGTTTCGTTCGTGTGGGGCGACAGCTGATTAACTGAAAAACAGATTTTTTTAAACAGATTTTTCAATTATATACAACATAATTACTTCAATACTGAAAAAGCTTAGTTTCAAGAAAGATAAGTTTTGGCTTTCTATTCCCCTCCATCTTCATACAAACATGTGGAAACTTCCAAAGGAAGGAAGAAAAATTGTTTTCTTCCTTCCTTTGGAAGTTTCCCAATTTGAGTTTGTATCTGAAAGTTACTTCTTTGCATGATCTACACATCCATGTATAGAGTTACTTATTTTCAAATTGAATAATCCTTCCTTTCTTTGGAAGATTCTCTCATCAATTTTTTTTGTATCAGATGGAGTAGTAGAAAGCCAAAAACTTTCTTTCCCAAAAAATGATTATAACATTGTTACATGTTTTGCAAATAGGGTTCCTTTGTCATAGTTTGATGTTGTTTCTCAGTGACGCCTTTTTTATTGGGCGATAGCTAATACACCGAGGTTACAAAAATGGCGAAATAAATATTTTGCTACATTTTAAAGCATATTAAGGCTCTTTCAGACGTGGAGCTTCACGTCTCTTGCTCTCCTATACGGGAGCGTTTATCACTCCTACTTACCGCCCATTCTCAACGGGAGCCTTTTTAGTTCCTGCCATTTACCTTCTCTACCGTCGACACAAACCTCGACGACAGAAACGTCAACGATCAAGAATGGGATGGATACAGTTGCAAAATCTATGTTGAGCACTTGCAAACTTCCACCCAACTTTTTACGACTTCCTTTCGGTCCTTATAAATGTCGAGACTTTTATATCCCAAAGAGCGCGTCGTTTGGAGACAGCACTAATTAAAACAGCTCCACATCGTAAACTACTATGATAAATAGTATGAAGCATCAACTAGGGAGAGCCGATTTCACTCACCATGTGGAAGAGCCCCCACTTATTCTTATGCATTTTGAGGTGGAGACATGGCTCCCTGGCTCGAGGTGCAGGAGACGAGAGAACTCTCGTCGTGGCGGCTCCCGCTCTTAGTCTGAAAGCTCCACTGGACTCGTTGCATTTTGGCGCTAAGAGCCTTTATCGAGAGCGAGAGACATGAAGCTCTCCATGTGAAAGGGCGCTTACCGTATAAGTAGTAAATGCACTGATTTCTTCTTCATCATAGAATTATTTGGCACATCAATACATGTAACTTGGAGACTCTTATATCTACTCGTAATGTCACTGACTGGTCCTGTTTTTCTTACATAACATATTTACGTTTTTCCCGCTATTTTCGAATTGCCCTTTAAATATTTCCAGCACTTAAGTGGTACTGATGTTTTGATCAGCCCTTTTACCAATCTCCCCCTTTAATTTGGATAAGACACAAGCACTACTGAAAAATCCATAAGACGCTCTAAGAGCGGTGCTTGTGCGAAAGTAGATTTGAATCGCTGGAGTTTGAATCCATTTGGAGAAACGTTGTCAGGAAGTTTACTCCACATAAACGCAGTTCTCTAAATGAAAGAGTTCATAAACAGTGAAGGTCGAAGTACACCGAGTTGAACCTCAAAACGATGAGCAGCCATAGTTCGTCGCGTATTTCTAATATGTGCCGCTCTTGGTAGAATCAAATTTCCAATGAGTTTTTCGATATTTTCTGTTCTTAGTTCCAGATGGTCATTCGTTAATGAATTTTTTAAGTAACTAAAGTAACTAGTTGATCGGCGTCGATCACCGGTGATCGATGTGTGTGCAATTAGCCTAAGAGGTAGTAGTCAGTCCACTAGTATATAGAAACACTAACATAGTCGTAAAATTTAGTCACAATGACCTCCTGAGGACGCTAACTTGATTAGCGAAACGAGCGTCGTGAGATCGTAATTTTTTTTCTGGTGTTGGGTAAAATATGGCTATACAATAGAGACCTCATGCCTCATGCGAATGTGAATGGATCTCAGGAGGCAAGCAAATCAATCACAAACATTCAACAAAGACCCTGTACAAACTAGTATACGGTAAGATTGTTGTACAGGGCTTATGAAAAAGTGGAAATAAAACGCAATGATAAATTGTCCGATGTTTCCGAATGTATTAGCCATCGACTACAGGTATTTATATCTGACGTTTCGTCTGCTACTGCGGCATACATTATCAAAGGCGATGCGGTAACGGTCGAAGTGATCTACATTGCTGCGATGCGAAAATACTCATTTCGGTTCTTGAATATGTCTTGCCCTCTCTACCAGAGTCCTAATAACTCCTCCTTTCTGTTGCGGATGATAATTGATAATTGGTGTGCATGTTCAAATATCGGTCCGTATGGGTTGGTTTTCTTTATGGGTCAGTCTGCCACTCTCCCGTCTTTCTAATACATCCAGAAAAGCGATTCTCCCTTTTTTTCTTTTTTCTTCATTGTGAACTGGTGGCGAACGGCCAACGAAAGAACTTTTCTGCCAACATAAGTGGTGTTACCAAGACCATTTTTAATTTGCGCATCGCAGGAAATAAGTTCACTTCGACCGTTGCCGCATCGTCTGCCGCAGTAACAAACGAAACGTCAGGTAACTGTAGGCCACAGCTAATAAACCCGAAAAGATCGGACAATTTGTTAGACACCGGTCGCGAAAGCCTTCACATTATG